AAGATACAAATAGGTCAAGTTGTTCAAATTTCCTAATGAAGTAGGAATGGAATCAAGAAAATTCTGAATTCTTATTTTGTAATTTTGGCATGGATACTCTAGAGGCGGCGGGTATGGTTTACTAGGTCACTATGGATGATTCTAAAAATTGGACCAAAAAAAGCCGGTCAGTAATATTCTCAAAAGCTCATGGACTAATACATACAAAAAATTAAGAAAATCATGAATTCATATTTTGTCACCTCTAAATGCTACAAAAAGTAGTGTGGATCCTCTAGAGGCTATAACCTAGGGGTATAGTTCACCAGGTTTATTGCAGATGGTTCTAAAAAGATTTGGACCAATAAGAGCCGATCAATAATATTTTTAAAAATTTATGAACTAACACACACGAAAAGTTGAGAAAATCTTGAATTCATCTTTTGTGACCCCTAAATGCTCTAAAGAGTGACGTGGATCATGTTGATACTGTAGGTATGGTTCATCATGTCACTACGGACGATCCTTAAAAAGTTTTGACCAAAAAGAGCTGATCAATAATATTCTCAAAAGTTCATGGACTAACAAACACAAAAAAGAAGAAGAGAAAATCCTTAATTCCTGTTTTGTAACCCCTGATTGCTAAAAAAAAAATGGTGTGAATCGTGTAGAGGCTATGAGTATGATTCACCAGGTCATTATGAATGATTCTAAAAAATTTGGGCGAAACAGAGTCTATCAGTAATATTTTTAAAAATTCATGAATTAACGCATATGAAAATTAAGAAAATCCTGAATTCTTGTTTCGTAACCCCTAAATGCTTAAAAAAATAACATGAATCCTCTGGAGGTTGTGAATATGATTCATTAGGTCATTATAGATGATCCTAATTTTTTTTGAATAAATAATATTAACTCCATGATTCAGCATTTGTACATTACCAACATTTAATTCCTTTTGGAAAATGCTGACTTTTTTGCTCAGAGATGTGGAAGGTCTCAAGTTGTGGTGGGATTGTGCTTGAAATATAAGTGATAAAGATTAGTGAGTTTACCAATTTCAGATGAAATGGTGTGAGACATGATTTATGCTAAGACTAAAATATTAAAAAAAAAGTGAGACACAAATGGAAAATTATGGAGTAACACGCACGAAAATTAAGAAAATTCTGAATTTTAATTTCATAATCCTTCAATACTAAAAGGGTGGCATGGATCCTCTAGAGGCGATGGATATGGTTCACTAGGTCATTACGAATGATTTTAAGAAAATATTGATCAATTGAAGCCGGTTAGTAATATTTCTAAAATTTTATGGACTTATTATACATGAAAAGATTGAAAAAACTCAGAATTCATATTTTATGGACCTCTAAATGCTATAAAAAATGGTGTGAATCATATAGAAGCTACGAGTATGGTTCACCAGATCATTACGGATGATCCTAAAAAAAATTCCGTCTAAAAGAGCCGGTCAGTAATTTTTTCAAAATTTATGAACTAATTAATACCCATGAAAAACTAATCCTGAATTCTTGTTTTGTGACCCCCTAAGGCCCTAAATGTTGTAAAAATCGATGTGGATCATGTAGAAGCTATGAGTATGGTTCATCATGTCATTACGGATGATCCTAAAAAAAGGGATCAAATAGAGCCAACCAGTTATATGTTCAAAAATTCATGAACTAACACATGTGAAAAATTGAGAAAATCTAGAATTCATGTTTTGTATAATTGTATTGAGTCTAGTCAAATTTGAAATTAAACTTAATTTGGTTCAAGTGTAATATAAAACTTGAACTAATTACCAGAAAGGTTTCATCGGAGCTGACAAAAGAGGTTGCTCAGATGGTAATAATCTTTCACCTCCAACCTCAAAATTATAGGCTCGAGTCATCAACAAAGCAAAAAGGGGGGAGCTTTCACTTTTTTGCTCCCTTGACGATTCGAACCAGAGATCTCGAGAACGAATGTGGAGGATGCTTACCATCTGAGCAACTCCCTCTTTGTTATTGAAAAAGCCTTTATAAAGTTGTGAAGGAAAAGAGAAAATGAGCAACAAAGTTTGCATTTCACAAATGGCAAAAAATCTTCCTCATGAAGTTATGTTATTTATTTATATTCCTCTAATAAAAGAAAATTGATGCGAACATTTAAACTTTGACTCTTCATTAGTGAGTTTACCAATTTCAGGTGAAATAGTGTCAAGACAAATGATTTAAGCTAAGTCATATTTGAGAAAAGTGAGACAAAAATGGAAAATCATGGGAGTATAACACACGAAAACTAAGAAAATTCTGAATTTCTATTTCATAATCCCTAAATAATAAAAAGGGCGGCGTAGATCCTCTAGAGGTGATGGATATTGTTCCCTAGATCATTATATATGATTCTAAAAAAAAAATTGACAAAAAAAAGTCCGTCAGTAATATTTCAAAAAGTCCATGGACTAACACATGAAAAACTAAGAAAATTCTGAATTCATATTTTATAGACATCTAAATGCTATAAAAAAAATGGTGTGGGTCATGTAGAAGCTATGAGTATGGTTCACTAGATCATTACAGATGCTACTAAAAGAAATTCGGCATAAAAGAGTCGGTCAGTAATATGATCAAATATTCGTGAATTAATACGCCCGAAAAACTAAGAAAATCATGATTTTCTATTTCGTGACCCCCTAAATATTATAAAAAGTGACATAGATCATGTAGATGCTATGAGTACAGTTTATCAAGTCATTACGGATGATCCTAAAAAAAAATTGGATCAAACAAAGCCAGCTAGTAATATATATGTTCAAAAATTCATGGACTAATACGCACGAAAAATTGAGGAAAAATCTAGAATTCTTGTTTCGTGACCACTAATTGCTAAAACAAGTGGTGTGGATCCTCTAGAGACTATGAGAATGATTTACCAGGTTATTATAGATGGTTCTGGAAGTATTTGCACCAAAAAGAGCCGGTCAATAATATTTCGAAAAGTTTATGGACTAATACACACGAAAACTAAAAAAATCCTGAATTTTTTGTTTTGTGACTCCTAAATGCTATAAAAGGTGGCGTGGATCATGTAGAAGTTCTTGTTCACTAGGTCATTACAAATGATCCTAAAAAAAATCAGGTCAAACAGAGCCAGTTAGTATAAACTAACACACAAAAAATTGAGAAAATTTTAAATTCCCGTTTCACGATCCTAAATTCTAAAAAAGTGGCATGATTCCTCTAGAGACTTTGGTTTATGATTCACTACATTATTACGGATTATTCTAAATTTATAATCGCACTTGTATAATTGTATAAAGAAAAAAGCAAAACAAATGTTTGCATAATATATATATTGCACTTGTACCATTGTATTTAGTGTAATCGAATTTTAAATTAAACTTAATTTGGTTCAACTATAATATAAAACTTGAACTAATTACCAGAAAAGACTTCATGGGGAATATTTTTTCCTTTTGGAAAATGTCATTTTTTTGCTATTTTCCTTCACAATTTCATAAAATTTCTTCGGAGCTGACAGAAGAGGTTGCTCAAATGGTAATAATCTTTCACCTCCAACCTCAAAATTATAGGCTCGAGTCACCAACAGAGCAAAAAGGGAAAGCTTTCACCTTTTTGCTCCCTTGACGATTCGAACCAGAAATCTCGAGAACAACAGTGAAGGATGCTTACCATGTGAGCAACTCCCTCTTTGTTACCGTAAAAGCCTTTATAAAGTTGTGAAGGAAAAGAAAAAACGAGCAACAAAGTTTGCATTTCACAAATGGTAAAAATCTTCCTCATGAAGCTATTTACTTTAATTATGTCATTTGTTTATATTCCTCTAATAAAACAAAATTGATGCAAACCTTTAAACTTTGACTCTTCACTAAGGTTACATTCATAAATTTCTACAACTCATATTTGATCCTTCCAGCTAACAGATCTATTTGATCTTACTTTCCTCCGACAAGCTCACACTACATCAAAAATGATCTTTAGCAACAATTAATTAACGACAATAGCTTAATTGCCGCTAAAAATATATTTTTACCACTAAAAGTTGTTTTTGTTGTAGTGTGATCTTAATTATACGTAGTATATTGAAATCCTGAAGCACTACCACGATCCTTCAAGACATACTTTTTTTTATTTCATTTTACTTGATCCTTGTATCAAATAAATGTTTCATTTTATTAAAACATTTTCTTTTTAGAATGACAATGGAGCTAGCTATGGATATGATATGAGAAGAAATTAAACATTTATAGGTGATAATTGGATAATAAACTTCGTATTTTAGCAAACTTTTTTTGGTGAGATCTATAGATATGATATGAAAAGAAATTAAATAAATAATAGAGCTACTAGATATTGAAGCAATGTAGGCAAAATAAAATGTAGTTGTGATATATTCCTAAAACCCTAACACAATGATGATGATTGATGAAGATCATACTATAGGGTTCGAGTCTGGGTATAGAGAAAATTATGTTGGGAGCGTCACCCCCGAATGGGCCCTGCAGTGCACGATTCGAATTTAGTTGAAGCTCCAAATATATTTTGTATTTGCCAAACGAGATATTAAACAATGGGAAGAACTGACATATGATAACAAATTATTCTCTATCGATCGATGAACAGCTTGTGTGTTATTATCATTACAACTACATCATTACTCAAAATCAAATTTAATAAGTACTATATTTTATAATATGAGTATTTTATTTGTGAGATTGTGACTTGATCAGAAAGTAGTAACACATGTAACATTATTTTGCAAATATGTATGTACATTAGTATTTTAAAATAAAATTAAAATTTTAAAGATTACTATAAAATTATATCTTTTAAAAAAAGTGAGACTCAACGCAATCCGCAGTCCACATAGTAATATGTTGAGTTTGTGTTTGTTGTTTTAAGGCCCAACCTAGCCCGATCCATAAAATTTTACAGCTCTTATGGGCTGAATCAGCCCATATTGACAGCTCTAATATTAAAACTACCACTATAAAAGGAAAAGAAAACCCTAATATCAAGAAGAAACTAGGGCTCTTCTAACTCTATCTACTCCCTTCTCTCTCAATTTTTGAAAGAGTAACCCCCATCATTTTCAAAAGATTTTTGTTTCTCCTTAGATGTGTAGGCTATATTAGCCAAAACAAAGTTTTAATTTGGTGATTTGGGCTCTTTGGAGAAGTTAGCCAACCTCAAAAGGTAAGAATTTTTCTATACATGCTAGATATCATGATTTAGGGTTTTATTTCAAGATTTAGAAAACATGACTACTTTTATTGGGTTGAATGTGTTATGTGTTTCTATTTGTTTAGTGAGAATTGATTTTGTAAGTCACTTCCATTTTTTTTAGTTTTATGCATTAAAAGATCTTCATTTTTACACATACGACGAGATCTGAAAACACCATTTTTTTCTATTCAATTTATAACTTGCATAGATTCATTTTCTCACTTGCTAGGTGTAGGTATGACATGATTTTTTTTAGAAATATTAGAAGGTCAAAGTATTGGTCGGAGTAAATCCTAATCTAAGTTGCTCGGACTTAGATGTGGATATCCGACATAGATATAGATTAGGGTTAAATTCAAAAAAAAAATCTAAATTTTAAGATTTGTGGTAAGGATCAAGTTAGTTACACGGGAGATAAGTGTTTCTATTTGTTTGGTGGATGCATGAGATGGAAAAAAATTGAAATACTAGTAGAAGTTTTGAGGAATTAAGATCACTTTCCCTTTTACAAAATTAATAAAAGAAAATGATCTTTTCAGACATGCATATGTATTTGTACTAAATCTATGTTTGTGTATATAAGATTTATACTCTCTTTATCTTAGATTTTCAGAATTTTAAATGCATGAGATTGATTTACTTTGTGTATTGTCAATTTCAGGGTCTCTTTCATCTGGGTATTTGTACTTGACATCCATTTTACAACTGCTAAAGATCAAGAGTTCTCTTCGGCAATCATTTTAGTTCGAACTTAGGAAGTGATTGCTCGTCGCTATTGTTGTCGTGGGCTCGTGTCAATTGGCCCATGAAATAATGTGTTGTACTATATCAATATTCATGTTCTAGTTGTTGTGCACATCAAAACTTTTTTTGAAGAGTAGTAGTTATTAGTTCGCTATACCAGTTGTTAGCTGGATATACTTTTAGAAGACATGTCATAGAGGAGCCTACCTGATCTTAATCCTATAATCTATGTTCATTGTCCTGCTGTTCAAGCTCTGATTGAGATTTATGGCAAGTATGGCTGTGAATTTGATTGGTGGATTAAGAAAAGGTAGGTTACCTCTATGCTAGGTCTTCTAAACGCATATCAATGCCACAACTAGGTGCATAATTGTTACCTAGATATACCTTTGGAAGACCTTTCATAGAGGAGCTTACTTTTTCCTAATCCTATTACTTAAGTTCATTGTCCTATTTGTCAAGCTTTGGTTGAGATTTATGGCAAGTAGGACTGTTGATTTGATTGGTGGGATTAGAAAAAGGTATGTTTCCTCTATGGTTAGTCTTCTGAAAGCATATCATGGTAGCAATTGGTGTATAAAGTGTGGTGGCATTGATTTTCAACCACAAATTACTCCAGAAAAGTGTTGAGGTGCATAATTGTTACCTAGATATACCTTCGGAAGACCTGTCACAGAGGAGCTTACTTTTTCCTAATCCTATTATTTAAGTTCATTGTCCTATTTGTCAAGCTATGGTTGAGATTTATGGCAAGTAGGACGGTTGATTTGATTGGTGGGATTAGAAAAAGGTATGTTTCCTCTATGGCTGGTCTTCTAAAAGCTTATCATGGTAGCAACTGGTGTATAAAGCGTGGTGGCACTAATTTTCAACCTCAACCTACTCCAGAAAAGTGCTAAGGTGCATAATTGTTACCTATATATACCTTCAGAAGACCTGTCATAGAGGAGCTTACTTTTTCCTAATCCTATTATTTAAGTTCATTGTCCTACTTGTCAAGCTTTGTTTGAGATTTATTTATGACAAGTAGGACTGGATTTTATTGGTAGGATTAGAAAAAGGTATGTTTCCTCTATGGCTGGTCTTCTAAAAGCATATCAAGGTAGCAACTGGTGTATAAAGTGTGGTGACATTGATTTTCAACCACAAACTACTCCAGAAAAGTGTTGAGGTGCATAACTGTTACCTAGATATACCTTCAGAAGACCTGTCACAGAGGAGCTTACTTTTTCCTAATCCTATTATTTAAGTTCATTGTCCTACTTGTCAAGCTATGGTTGAGATTTATGGCAAGTAGGACTGTGGGTTTGATTGGTGGGATTAGAAAAAGGTATGTTTCCTCTATGGGTGGTCTTCTAAAAGCATATCAAGGTAGCAACTGGAGTATAAAAAGTAGTGGCATTGATTTTCAACTACAAACTACTCTAGAAAAGTGAAAAGTGTTGAGGTGCATAATTGTTACCTAGATATACCTTCGGACGATCAGTCACAGAGGAGCTTACTTTTTCCTAATCCTATTATTTATGTTCATTGTCCGACTTGTCAAGCTCTGGTTGAGATCTATGGCAAGTAGGATTGTGGATTTGATTGGTGGGATTAGAAAAAGGTATGCTTCCTCTGTGGAAGGTCTTCTAAAAGCATATCAAGGTAGCAACTGGGGTGGCGGTATTGATGTGCAACCACAAACTATACTCTCCAGGAAAGCGTTGATGTGCATACTAATCAGAACAAGAATATTGATGTTCATATCGTTCCATGAGCATGTCAGCTTGGGTAAACAAACTATACGTTTTGGAAGCTCAAGAATAAAGAAAGAATTTTGCTGCCAAAGAAGTAGTTTTTTTTTCTTAATTTCCCATCTGGTGTTTGATGTAGCAAAAGAAGTAGTTACAACATAGAAAGAACTTGTCATCTCATATTTTCCAATTTTGAAATTGAATCACGTTTTGTATTTAAGAGCTACTGCCATTATTCAATATTCAATATCTTCATCATTTATAAACTTCACATAATAAATATTTTTTTTTGGAAACGGCTGAAAAGGCGATGGCAAGAAAAATCGATTGTTGGCATTCCACCACCTACTCTACCGATTTAGCCTCCCTTACGGGTTAATTTCACTTCATTCTTGTACCTAGCTTTTGATTAATTACACAAATACTTGTAGGATAATCATTTGTGCCGTTGGAATTTCAAGATTCAAACTTCTAAATTTTGACTGTGAATTCAGATATAAAAAACTTTAAAGATATCAAACTTTTGTTCCAACTTTAAACAATAAATATTATCGCCCTCATATTTTGATTGACTTTTTTAAATACCTACTTAGTCCTCTCAAATCTCAATAATTAATCTTCATCGTTTTTTTAGTGTTTTTTCTTTATAGAACAACTAAATACAAGCCTAATAATATAACAAGAAAAAGAGTGAAATAATAATTAGGCATACAAGTTAACAACGTTACATCTAGCTACCAAAATTTTGTTAACGTCTGATGGATATTAAAAAACACTCACTTTTGATAATTTTGGTGGTGTTTATATGATCATTTTGTATGTTGGAGTGTTTGATCAACTAACATAGTGGAGACGGGGACGTCACAAATAAATTTTGGTGGTGTTTATATGATCATTTTGTAAGTTGGAGTGTTCAACTGACACAATGGAAACGTGTTAACTTGCCAATTGAGGTTAAGTTTAAGTATATATTGTTTATATATGATGCCTCTTTTTTTTAAATGAAACACATCATCAATGCTTATTAGCACTTTAAGCAATTTTATCTATGTATAACTACTCATTTATAAAATTAATTTCAGCACATATAGCTTATCAGTTATTTACAATCAGCTAATAATAAGTTTGTTACCTATTTTCATGCTATTATACAAATATTAACATGAATGGTATATGTACTAAAAATGATCCAAAGATGGAGATTTAGTCAAATCCTCCCACAATTCTCTCATTCATCCACTTTCCCTTTTCTCACGCTTTTCCTTTCCTTCTTTAATTCCTTCAAAACATCTATCTATCTAATCTCATTTGTAAACAAGAAAACTATATTTTAATTTTGACATTTGAACATCACACCTATTTATCTTGTTTGTTTACTACAATTTGCATTGAAGATGGCTTCTCAAAAGGAAAGAGAAACTCATGTTTACATGGCCAAGCTCGCGGAGCAAGCTGAGCGTTACGATGGTTAGTTTCATTTATTTCCCCTTCTTTTGTACAGTCAAACCTCTTTATAACAATGTCGTTTGTCATATAACGAAATGATGTTATAGAGAGCATATTATATAATATGAAAAATTGGTTCCAAATGAAAACTTGATCGTTATAGTGAAATGTTATTATAGAGAGGTATGATAGTACCTTATACGGATTCTTGATATGGAGGTAGTAGGTATTCGTATTAATTTTTTACATTTTAAAGATTTTTTAAAAAGCTTCTTTTATTACATTTATGTAGTCCAAGATTGTTTATGTATGATAGATTCGTTTGCATCTTTGTATTAGTAATTTCTATGTACAAGATTTGAGAAATGGAGCATATGAGTACAATTTGAATGTGCAATAATGAAAAATTAGTTAATTACTCGCGATATGCGTCAAATTAAAGCAATAAATGCATGACATGTGTCTTTTACATAAAGTTTTTTCCCTGGTGATATTTATGATCTAGTGTGATGTATGGAATATATGACGAAGGTTGATCTATTGATTACTCATGGCATATAGGCCAAATTTGGACATGCAATTGCTTCGATTGAATGATCAAGTGATGACTCGGACAAAAAGAAGAAAAATCAACTCGAAGATATAATAACTATTAGTTGAGCGACCATCTGAAAAATTGACTCGAAGATAATTTTTTGTTGATTGATAACTAAATAGTTAAAAGTTGAATCTTGGTTTATGAATATTGTATAGATCTTAAATGGAATGTATAAATCTTAATTTTACAGAGATGGTTGAGAGTATGAAGAATGTTGCAAAACTTGATGTGGAATTGACAGTGGAGGAAAGGAACTTGCTTTCTGTTGGCTACAAGAACGTCATTGGAGCTCGAAGAGCTTCATGGCGTATTATGTCTTCCATTGAACAGAAAGAAGAGTCGAAAGGGAACGAGCAAAATGTCAAGCTGATAAAAGGCTATCGTCAAAAGGTCGAGGAAGAGCTCTCCAAGATTTGCTCTGATATTCTTGAAATCATTGATAAACATCTCATTCCATCTGCTGGCACTGGCGAAGCTACTGTCTTCTATTACAAAATGTAAGTCAATCGTGTTTCTTTTTTCTTAACCGTGTTTCTTAGTATCGTCCCTATGTTCACTGTTATACCAACATTTGCTCTGTTATGATCAATGGACAAGGTAATGGACATGAATGGTATTGAAGTGTAACTCTTCATGAAGGTGTTAAAAGTACAATGAAATGTCTTAAAGTTGAATATGGTTTGCGGCCAAGAGTGTAGCCTAGTCATCAATGAAAAGGGGGAGAATAATGAGGTCTCTCAAGTTCAAATCGGAGGCAAAAGACACTAGGTGTGATTTCCTGTCATTTGTCCAAGTCTTGGTGGATTAGAGTTAACTGGTACATATGTTGGTGCGAGGTAGCACATACCTCATGGAATTAGTCGATGTGGACACAAGTTGTCTAGGGCACTACAATTTGAAAAAAAAGAAATGAAAAAGAAGTTGAATATGGTTCGTGAAGATCTGGCTCACCTATAATCTCCCAATCTCCTATACCGAGGGAGAGCGCAAGGAGATTTGTCATTAATATGATGATTGAAATGAAAACGATAAGCACGACCGTGATCCTTGTGGTCTAAGATAATGAAACCATCATCAATATTAACACAAGCATGAGACTTTTTAGTAGCGCCAGTGAATCAGATGTTCCAAAATCGAACTCTTTCAGTTTTCGATTTATTTCTAATAGATTTACCTTCTTATCTTTGTCACTATGGTTCAGGAAAGGTGACTATTTTCGTTACCTCGCTGAGTTCAAGACTGATTTAGAAAGGAAAGAGGCTTCTGAACAATCATTGAAGGGCTATGAGGCAAGTTACTTCTTCTTCCATCTTAACTGAAAATGCACGATCAGTCGATTAATCGATGCACATTACTTGGGATGCCACTTGATTTTGCATCTTTTTGCTCCTTTTAGGCTGCTACTGCCACTGCAAACACTGATCTCTCTTCAACTCATCCGATTCGGCTTGGTCTTGCTTTGAACTTCTCTGTTTTCTACTATGAGATCAAGAACTCTCCTGAAAGGTAACATTTTTAACCAATCTTGAATAATACAACAGCAACGTACCGAGTGTAATCCCACAAGTGAACCAATGTTGATTAATCTTGTAAATATTTGATATGATAAGATTATTAAATATTAATGACTCAATTTGCAGGGCATGTCACTTGGCTAAACAAGCTTTTGATGAGGCAATTGCAGAGTTAGACACTTTAAGTGAGGAATCATACAAGGACAGTACCTTAATTATGCAGCTCTTGAGAGACAACCTCACTCTATGGACTTCTGATTTGCCTGAAGATGGAGGTAATTAATTAATTATCCTAAACAACTAATATAAAATGGATGAGGGCTATCCATGATGTAACTGGTAAAATTGTTACCATGTGACCTAAAGGTCACGGGATCATCTGTGGAAACAGCCTCTCAAATGTAGGGTAAGGCTTCATATAATAAACCCTTGTGGTCCGACCCCTCCTCAGACTACGCGCATAGTAGAAATGTTTCTATCTTAGCAATGATATACACATACTATTTCTACTTTTGCTACTTTAACCACTGAAGTATAAAAGTGCGGTAAAGATTTAAAAGTTATATGCACAGACAGTGTAAACACACCCCTCATCCCTATTTGTACAAATATAATTGCTTATTTATAGAAAATTGTAAAGAGGCTTCTACGATATCATCGACCGTAGAGAAATAGAAATGTTGTTACCTTACCAACTTGACCTTGTTTCTCCAGGCAACAAACATGCATGAACCATTTCACAAAGTATGGGTCCTGATAGTCCAAAATCTCGATAGTTAGCTCTCAGACCTCCAGTCAAAAAACAACGTCGATGAAGGCGTGTAGGTTCTCTATTCCATTAAGGGGATTGTAACTTTCCATAATTTTTTGTCACTCAACGACTGAACTTTGCTTATTTCTTTTTTTGAGGATCGACGTATCAAATAATTTTCCTTTTCCAATTTTGCCTTTTCTTCTCCCTCTGAACCAAACTTTTCATATAATAGGTCAGGTACCATATATACCATAGTCATCAAGTTACAAATTAATGCTTATCGAGAGATTTAGTCGCAACCACCTTATAAATGACTTGATTGTGTCAAAAAAAAGTAACTCGTCAGTGCATAGAACTTAAACTCGTGCAAGAAAGAAATCTTTTCGAAGCAATAGTACTGAAGATAAAGTTTTTGTACAGGTGAAGAGAATGTGAAGACTGATGAACCAAAAGCTGTTGAACCAAAATCTGCTGATGCAAAATCTGCTGAAGCAAAATCTACTGAGGCAAAATCTGTTGAACCTGAAGTAAGTTGCATAACTTAACATACTTACATTTTTTGAAGTTTACAGCTTATGACTTCTAATATCAAATTTTTATTTTCTTGGCATCATCATAGGAGGCATCAAAAGATAAACAATAGTCGATACGCGCAACAAATTACTAGAGGATTTATATTTTGTTTTCTCAGTTTTACAAGACACAACTGCAGATGCAATTTATTGAATGATCATCTGATAGTTTACTAGTTTGAGACTTATTCATTGATTTTTTTGTTTTTAATTTACTCATGTTGTTTATTGTGGAAGAGTTATCATCTAAACAACAGGCACATTTTGTATTACTTAATAGTATCTTCTTTCTTTTCTTATGTTCAATCATTTATAGTCATGCATTGTCTTGCTGTTCGTTCATATTAGTCGTAGTAGTATTACTCTTGTAATTTTCTTGTTCTTTGATTTATGTTGCTATCTGTCGATTCCTTGTACTTCGACTATTGTATTGTTTTGTTGTAGTTTTGTTACTATATGTTGTTTTTGTTATTATATCTTGTTACCTTCTTCCAAATATTTTTCACTTTTTTGAAATTTATGGAATTTGAGTTGAAGATGAAATTGTGTTTGATTAATTTTTTGGGATAATGCATAAGTACCCCCCAGCCTATGCCCGAAATCCCAGAGACACACCTAACCTTTACTAAGGTCCTATTACCCCCCCGAACTTA